TAATGTGCAGATATTTACGTTAAGTGTCTTACTTCAAGTTAATGCTTCAAAAGAATTTCTTTCCTACGCTCGTTTTTTTTAAGGGAAACAATCAAAACAAGTTTCAACAAATTTTTTTGCTTATGAAAGTAATAACACTCGATTTCCTTGTATTTGCAGGATTTATTGACTTTATCGGTTTTATGTCGTACATACCATTCTTTGCTAAGCTTCTAAGAACCATACTGGAAAACCCTCTGTCTATTGCTGAACTAGAGCGGGCACGAGAACGAGTCAAACAGCACGACCTCACTTTCAAACCCAAGAAAAAAGCAAAGGAACCAAAGAGTTGGGAAGTGTACTAGAAAGTCTATTTCCCGCCTTCATCCACATCCAAAGCCTGGGAGCAAGCTTTCATTAGAAGCGATTCAGCGCGGGCGTTGCTTTGCCCGCCGAAAAGTATAGGGGCAACGCCAGCCGGCGAAAGGACTGAATCGGATCTCGCACTGATCATTATTAGTACCAAAGCTCTCAGCAAACCTCTCCCCAACTCGTCTCAAACCTTCTGCGGGTGCTTCCTGCCGCGCTCAAAATAAAGGCCTGATTGTATGTTACTATATCGGTGACAAGGATGACAGTGTTGAAATTAAGTTTTAGATTGCATGAGTACTCATCGTTCACAATGGCGGGCTTCATCATCGCTCTTTTATGTTCATAAAATTCTGCTTTCCTGGCCTCGCTTTCCGGTGAAAATTCAATTGTTTTAAAACTTGTTATCGAAGCTAGGAAGAATATAAGGAATAGCCATCGGGTTGGCCAATTATGAAGAATGTCCATGTATGGAGAGTGTTCATATGACTTGTGTTTTAGGTTACGGAAACCCAAACGGGTGCAAATAAGAGAATCGAGACTAGGCTTCTCATCACAATTGTACCCAAGCAGAGGCAAATTTCCTCCATCGAAATATTCTGTAATACTCAACCCGATGGTGTTCTTTTGAATATGGTTGATATTTTTTATATTAGGTTTTAATACAACAATGATACAACATGGCTTCAAATTTGAGATATATTTACATATTTTTAATACATATTTTTAATCAGAGCAAATATTTCATAGCAGTTTTTATTTCATTCATGTTTTTCCAGGTCAGTTTGCAAAAGTCAGGCATTTTTTTATATTGGTGACTGGGACTACTTTATTATTCTCTGCGGTTTGATAATAAAATATACCAATTACGTAAAGATTATATTTGTAATAATAATAATTATTATTATAATTCTAATTTAAACAACCTTGGATCAAAAATCTTGGAAAAAGATCATACACGCTTTTATTGCATGTAAATTGTGTTTTTTGTTGGTTTGTTTTCTTTCAGTTGTTTGTTTGCTCTTAAGTAATCGTGTTTTTTATTTCAAAAAGATAAATTGTTCTAAATTATCGATGACGTCGTATGCGCTT